ATTCTTGATGAAATAATTCCCCGAGGAACCGGTTCTTAAACATTACGTCGTAGTACTTTTTCGACTAAAATTTGCAAATTATTCGCAGTCTCTTTCTCTCTTCGCGCGTTAATAGCGCGCTTATAATAGACACTGTTCTTTATTAATAGCCTAATACCGGTTCAGTTAAAAGCGGCTAATAAAAACATTCGTTCGTGTTAATCTTTATCTCGAGTCGGTTATAAGCGATACCCGACTTAAATCTCAAGACAGCGCGTGTAACGTTCGGATGTAAAAACGCGACGTTAACTTCCGCGAGACATTACAGTTCTAAGGTTTGATCGATACTACGAAGACTATAAATATTAACCACGCTTTTTGCTTTGCGATGTTGTTATTAGGCAATAAATTCGCGTATAAAAACGTCAGGTGTCCGTTTCCTTTGTATACTCGTCCTAGCTTCGGTATTCGAGGCAGAGTCTGCGTCGTAACCTTTCGCGCGTGTGTTTCATCCCTAATGCAAATATTATTTCTGTTTTCGAACATCCCGCGAGATTCAGAATAGTTTTCCTTATGTTTGCTCTTAGCAAAAAAAATAATTTCTTTCGGACATTAAACATTTGAAAAAAAATAACAGAACAAAAATATAAAACGCAGAATAAAATACATACAAGATAATATAAAATAGAAAACGTTCAATTTTTTTGGAAATCAAACATTTGAAAGAAATTATGCCGAACATAAAATAATATAAAATATTACAAAAAACAAAATATAAAATGAATATAAAATAATATATAAGATAAAATAATAAGAATAAAATAAAACGCAGAATAAAAAATAATATCCAACTCACACAGAACTCCAAGATTGGAATTATTCAAGATTCATAAATTAGATGAATAAAATAGACTTGCACATGCCCGAATTGTGACCCAAAACACATACACAACGATACACTGGACCATTCATGACGGTACTAAGGAAGAAAAGTCTGAGGGATGAGACAGCACAATATACTGCCGAGTGAAATCACAAATAACGCAACGCCAAGAGCGCGTCCTCAAGATCGACAGCACGCTTTGTGTGACGCGTCGAAGCACAATTAAGCGAGCATTATGAATGAACTCGCGCGGTGTCGTCGGCGGAGAGCAAGGATGAGGGGACGTCGCGCGCATCCTCGGAGATGACAGAACGCCTGTCTCGTTGCGGGAAGTGAGGTTAAGCGTCGTCGCAGAGGAAACACGACGTTAAGTGACCGTCGCGTGCGAATCTCACCGGAGATTCTTCGACGTTCTCGCGACCCGTAATCAACCAGCGACGCCGGTCTGAAAATTGCGCGAGGAAGGTCACGGTTTTTCACACCTTTTCGCACTGCGCTCGCACCGACACGAATCCGCTGTTCGCGCGAGTATTGACTGACGAGTATCGCGGATGAGAACACGAACGCGCGCAATTCCGGTCAATTGAAGCGGCGCCCGTGCCGCAATTGACTGCAATTCGTGGTAAAAATAAACAGTGCCAGTTGACAGCGGGGTGGCACGAACGAACGCGCGTAGGAGAGCTCGCGTATCTCTCTTTCTCTCTCTGTCTCTCGCTCTCCATCTCTGCCTCACCTTCTCGGGCAGACGTCTCCTCGTTCCGTTGCGCGCCTGACGCGCGCAAAACTCCTATCCGCCGCTCGCGGGCTCACAACGCGCGTCTCAGGAATTATATAACTATTGTTGCACGGCTCGTAAATAAAGGCTACTTACCGCTGATCGAGGCGAAAAACGTCAGGATCGCGCGTGCACACACACACGTTACTCCGCGGTGACTGCTTGGGTCGGACTGCCGCGTGATGGCGCCCGCGCGCCCCCGCCATACTGGATCAATCGTCCGCGGCACGCAACGCGCGAATTCAGCTTCGATATGAACGCGCAAGAGTACTCGCGAACAACGCGTTGCATTAAGTCCGTTCTTTTTTTGAAGAACTTCCTGAACGGGGGCGCGCTGGATTGCAAAACGGTTTAGACTCAATGAATTTGGGAGCTCACCAAACTGTCAAAATTGAGAATTATTATTGACGCGGGCTTGCCAAATATATTATTAATAATTATAATAATTACTAATTATTATTAGTATTATTATTTGTTATTATTTAGTGCGCTTAATTATATTATTATTATGAGTCTATCAATAATAATCTTCAATTTCACACACAATTAATAATGCTCAATTTTTGTCACAACTTTATTGTATGTAAACCGTTTTGTACACGTATGTTTTGTATATTTTGTTTCACTCTAACTTACACAAGTACACTAGTTCAAAAAGTTCTGTTCAGAAAAAAACAGGTTTATAATATTTTTTATTCTGCATTTTATTTTATTTTTATTATTTTATCTTATATATTATTTTATATTTATTTTATGTTTTGCTCTTTGTAATATTTTATGTTATTTTAGGTTTGGCATAATTTTTTTCTAATGTTTGATATCCAAAAGAAATTGAACGTTTTCTATTTTCTATTATTTTACATGTATTTTATTCTGTATTTTATATTTTTGTTCTGCGTTATTTATTTTTTAATGTTTAATGTCTGAAAGAAATAATTTTTATTGCTAAGAGCAAACACGAGGGAAACTGCGAGGGAATCTCGCGGGATTCAAAAACAGAAATACTGTCAATATTGTACAAAATTTTGTAGCTACTAATGAGACTCAGAAGGCTGCGAGATAATTAAAAGGCACTGATATTACACTGTTTCAGTTGTTCAATATGTATAAATAGATAATGTGTAATTTTATCCTTTTTCTGAAAATTGTAATATTATTATATAATAAATATATTCTATAAAATATCTAGTGAATTTGTAACGATCACATAAATAATATTGCATTATTAGCTAATCTAAATGTTGGTAATCGTGCAAATCCCTATAAGACCGTTAATTTTTAATAACAATAATTACAAGACTGATCTTATCTGAAAAACTAAAATGTTATTTTAAAAATATAAATGTCGTTGTAAGTATGAAATTGTCCATTATAGCGCAAAAATAAAACCTTGATATTCTCCGCTTCCCCCCCTCCAAGAATTTGATATTTTACTTCCTATACACATACAGAATGAATGCAACGCGGCTCTCCACATTCTGTGCATCGCTCTTGCTTGAATTCTTGACTGCGGAAAATGTGTTTTTTTCCATACAACTCGCGAAGAAATCGTTCACTTAAATTGAATCCATAACGTACGAAAGTTAAATGGCAATACAAAAGTCGCGAGCGCCTCAACTATTATTGTCTCTGTTTTATCGACTTACCGACTTCTCCTATGGCCGGTTGAGAGCAGCGATTTGAATTCCAACCTTCACAACGCGATGGATCCGTTCGCCCGGCTGTCGCATGCACGTCCCCAAGATATGCACTTCGTTTTAGGCACTCTCGACGATATCTCACGCGCGAAACTCTTCCTTCGACGTGTCGAGAGCCAGGCAGGAACTCGAATGTCTAACTGCCATAACGCAAAAAACGCGCGATACTTTCGACCCGCGCTTTCGACGACCCGTTTCACGACATACTCACTACGATCGACTGATCAGCGATACCTTATCGCGACAAACGCACGAGACTCTTTCGGCAACCGACGACGATGATTCAAGCGCGAAACTCACCTTCGACAAGCTGAAATCGCGGGAGAGCCGATCCTCGGGTCCACGTCGCTCCGCCATAACCGTCCTCAATTGACTGAACGTTGCAACGCTTGAGATTCTCGAAACATCATCACAATCGACGATGTAGACTCGTCACAACGCGGCGTAAGCTATCCAATCGCGGTACATTTATCAAAAATCGTGCAATCCTAAATACTTAGAATAAATACTCGAGAGATCTGGTTCGTCTTAAGTATTAAAAATAAACGAATAAAAAGATATAATCGCTGATCTTTAGACATGTCAATTATTATAGCACAACTACTTTCGAATAATTGTTCGTAATGACGTCACACGATCATGCAAGTTCAAGGCGCATACTTTCGCGACGATTGAACTTGGATCGCAACCACTCGGTACTCACTGCGTCCTTTTGTCACATGTCGAAGACAAACGCGTGCGAACGAATATCAAAAGTGTCAAATCAAATTGATAGGCAATTGTCGTAGTGCGAGTAGTGTGACGGCGATATACACATACAACCGACGACGGAAACGAGTGTTTTAAAGTTCGGCGCTTGCATCACGCATTGGTAAGTTGGTTACCTTCCTCTTTTATTAGCACGAATTACAAGTTCGCATCGATATTAATTTGCTAGTATTAGCAATAAGGTATACCGGACATTACATATATTCTGGTACTAATGAGTCAGTCAAGAGCAAAAACAATTAATGTTTTTCGCCATACTAATTTCTGGTATTATATTGCAATATTTCCCTCTGAAAAATAAGTTTGATCTGTCTCCAGTTTTACGTAATGTTGCTTACAAATTAAATAATTTTTTCTATAATTTGTAAAATAATTTTGTGTGACAATCGCTTACATGATATATTGAAAACCTACCACTTTACTGCAGTTTGCTTGATTGCCAATATTTGGGTAATTAATTTATCATATAATAATTAACTAATTATACAAATATTCATATTAGTCGAAAAGATCAATAATATCAGTGTTTTTCAATTATTATTCGTTTGCCTCCTTTATCATGGAAAATTCGCTATCGAAGAAAGCATAAAAAATCAAATTTTTTTATTGACTTATTGATATCAAGACATACATAATAAAAAGCATGAATTTAAATAGACAATAGAGAAATTTACAATATCGTAATAAAACTCTTAAAGATCTTTTAAGAAAATATAAATATTTGAAATGTCTTACAGTTTAAACAACGTGTTTGTGTTATTAAAATGCATCTAAAACAAATTAATATTACGGGTCATGAGAATTTGATATTTTTGTTTTTTCGATCCAATTCTAATCACTTTAAAACTATTTCTAGCTAATCGGTGGTAATGTGAACTTCGCGAAATAAAACAACTCGTTTGATTCTTTGCCATTTAATTATTATATACTTAGAACATAAATAATAGCGATCAATGCGCAAAACGTAAATCCTGCTGGATCGTTCTGAATTAATGATCGTTGGTAGGACACAAAACAGCGATTTTCCTGTTTGCATATGTTGTATGTAATAAATAAATAATGTAAATTGGAACGTATCGGCGAAACAACGTTCGCGATCCTTCGCTATTTAAGTCGCACGAAATTGGAACATAAATAATAACAATAAGCGCACACAACACAGGTACGCAATATCGTCCGCACGCAACATTCATATACAACAGTAGAATGCAACACAACGGTGTTGTCACTTGCGCAAAATAATATGTGCAATAAGGGACATTACACAGACATTACGTAGGGCAGGAAAGATAATGCTCAGAACGTGTTGGCATACATGCTCGTCAAATGAAAAAGTATAAAAACAAATGAAAGCTGAAAACATGAAATGCAACATTGAGAGATGATTTATCGATTGTTTCATTGAAATATTAATTAGACATTCGTACAATCCGATTCTCATTTCATCTTTTTCATCCGTTTAGATCACAGACTTCCACATACTACACCAGAAACTACTCATCCAATGCGTGAGAATAATATGTAATGCGAGTAAGAAAATAATTGGCCATATGTTGAGTAGATGAAAATAACACATACATTATAGTTATATGAAGTTTATAGAACTATAATGTTTATGATATATAGACATCATAACGTGTTATAAAGTGTTCAATAATTCTTTGTACGCTATTCTTCTTGTATATACTCAATCTATCCATTTAACAAATAGATGCTGGGTTTCACGTTCCAAGTTACAATTAGCGGTCTAGTGTAATATATAGAAATTTGTGATTTGGACTTTGTTTGTCAAGTGATATTTTCGAAAATTTAGTGTGCATATCCTTAAATATACACTTTCTTCACATACAACAGTTTATTTACGCATTGCTTACTAATACTAAATCATATCGACAATAGTCAATCGTTTCTAAAGTCCACTTTATATAATTCATAATTCGCGACAGAAATTGGAATAGAATTTTATTTTACCTAATTTCTAATTCGAATTTTATCGAATATTTTCTTAGAATTTAGAATTGCATTCCATATTCTGTCGTCAATTATAGATCTTTTTAATCTTATCCTTATAGATTCTTATAGACGCAGAGTCCTAAAGTGGACTTTAAACAAAGTGCACAGAATTATATTATTTTTCTTTTCTTCAATGCTTAAAACTAGGATGGGACCAAGTTTAGTATGTATTTATAAATCTTAGTTAATTCAATAGCTAGATATCATTCCACTAAAATCGAATACTTATAGATCGTCATAGATATATCTCACACACTTGTAAAGAATTTACTACAATCAAATATAGAATCAAGTACATACTAAATGATTATACGTAATATATATGTGTATATATATTTGAGAATGTTTCGATTATGATATTGTTACATTCCAAAACGTATGCATACTTTGGTTCGATTGAGAAACGGAAAGTTTTGATTATACTTTAAATGCTGTGTTATGTTCCAATATATTCATAAAATTGATACTATATTAGATGTGTACTTGATCCCATTCCTATTTTTTAAGACACATTACAAATATCAATTACAGCCTACATAGCGTCCAATGCAAATCTTCCTCTTAAATCGCATGGAAGTCTGACACGCAAGCTTGCAGGTTCGCTCTCTCGCTCTCTTTCTCTCTCTCCCTCTCTTACTGTCGGCGGCTAATCACTAAATTTACCGATAAAAACGACTTATCTATTACTTAACAAATATGGTATCTTCTGTCACATCGCATAATTTTCGCCAGGTATTGAAACTATGAGACCCATTGCTACAGGTTGTGTCAATTCCAATTTCATGATAATCACAAGAGAGAGCATTGGAAGCTTAGAATGTGTGCGCGTTGCGACAAATGCCGCAACCCAAAGCGAACTCTTCTCCCGTCGGCGGATGTTTCACATGCAACGGGCACTCGTCGCCTTCCAACTGCTTGGATGTGGGACCTTAGAAAAGAACAATGAGATATCAGTAGTGTTAATCATTGTCAAGAATAGGGTCGTGCATACGTACCAGCGGGACACAGAGGCAGTTCGTTCTTGGGGATGGTGGTAACTCGCTGGAAGTCGTCGTGGCAAGGTTTGCAGAAGTGCGTGGTTCCGAAGCAGAAGAAGACCGCCACTGAACAACAGTATCGGCATTTATACTCGAGGAAGTCTGCCCCGTGCTTCGGACACATCTGAGCCCTTGCCACGTCGCTACATCCGCCGCACACCAGTTCCGTAGGATCAAACGACTCTCCGCCTAGCTGTGCGTCGCATCGCGCCTCACCACCATAGTAGGCCTTCTGGCATTTGTAGCACACGTAGTACGCGTACCGTTCCATCGCGTAGGCAGCTGGATCTTGATGACGACCGCCAGGTGCGAAGGCTCCTTCGGCCCTGCGGAAAGTTGTTGAAGAAATTCTTACTTTGCGCGATCGATCGCTTCATGCGTACAACTTTATCTAAGAGACATTACTTGTGCAATCCTTCATATTCCAAGCGCATCAGAGCCTTCCTTCGTACATCTTCGTAGAGTTCTTTCACGCTAACCAACTGCTCGGACAACGTTGGATGCTCCATCGGTACCTTGCAAATTGGACACAGGGAGAAGCCGAAGGTGATTCGCGGTCCCACCCAACGCTTCATCAGCACGTGTCGGCAGCAGTGCAGATGGAACACGTGACCGCACTGCAACTGAATCGCTGGAGCACAGGAGAGAGCTTCGGTGAAGCAGATCATGCACATATCGTCGGCGTCCTGTTTCAAATCGACCCCCGGTAAGCAACGATGCAGACAAGGCAGACAAGTTCTCTCGTTCCTAACACCGCCGCAAATGTGGCCGCAAGAGTGAACCTTGTTACAAGCATTATTGGAATGCTCCTGGCAATCGTGGTCAGCGCAGATGTTCCCTATCGCCAACAAGCCCGTGTTCCCGGTGGTGCCGCAAAATCGACAAATACCGGTAGTCGCGCCGACCGGTTTTCTCGGCGAACCGTCACGAAATTCTACCAGCGCCTTCAACGTTCTGCTATCCGCCAGAGCCAAAATCCAGAATAATTTTGTTCTGCCACAACCCTCGTGAAGATCTACCCGTATCGCCTCTTCTTCCTCCTTGCACACTTGTCTGAGATGTGTCTTCGTTCTCCTATGGAGGTGGAGAATTCGGTCGCATTCCGCGCACAGATTACCACAAATGTTACATTGGATAATAGCTGTGGTCTCGTCGTCGTCGTGATTGCTGCATGTCGGCTAAATATGAATGAGGAAAATAGATAAGGATCAGCTGATTCTATTTGCGCGCTATACGCTCATTCGGAAATGCGATATTGATCTTACTCTAGGCGGCGGCGCTTGTCCCTCGGAGCCTCTCCATTGACCAGACGACAACCTTTCCACATGGTCCGAATCTAAGACGCATAAAGAAGCTAATGCTAACCATAATGTTGGAGATCGAAGACATTCCGTAGGATCGCGACTCTTCTCGTCCAACCTAGTCAAGTTCAGAATGTTCTCAGCAATCCCCGCTTTCGTCACAGACGCCCATTCCTCCGACAATTTGCCCTGAAAGAGAAAATCGGTCCAGATACTGTGAAGTAAATGGGTCAATCGATTAAATACTCACAGATGCCATATCCTTCAAAAGCTGAATCAGTACTTCCGCCAGCTTTCGGGTCATGCAACCTCTCAACCACCACCTCGTTCCGACATAAGTGTCCGGGTGAATGCTTGTGGCTAACGAGACACTCTGAAGGGCCTTGCCGTTGTTTTCCTTTCCTTTCATCTTAACTTGCACAGTCAATGCCTTCGCGATACAACTTAGAAACACGTCGAGAATCCCAGCGGAATGTTCGTTGAAATCCGCAACATGAGTGAGGCTGCTGTTCGCCGCGGATACGATACTAAAGTCGGTGGGCGGCAGTTGTTCGACGTTTATGACGCTCGCTAATGTCTCGGGTTTAATCTCGGGCAATATTCGCCTTAAGAGAGATGTTACCTAAAAGATACAAGATAATGTTGCAATAAGAAGAGTTTTGTGATATATATGTATAAGAATCCATAGCGATAATGAAAATAACGCACTTGACGCTGCACCCTAGCCGATCCAGTATGCAATAAGCTCAATAGATCTTTCAGTAAGCCAGTCTGATGCGATAAGTAATATTGCCCTACGGAACTACCGCTTAGAGCGAGAACCATCGAAAGCATTTCGAAGCAATACGTATCGGTCGCCTTCTGCAGATCGCTGTTGTCGCTCAGCAAACTATTAGCGGATGTCGGTGAAAAAAGAAGTGTCTCCCATTCTTCTCTCATGCGTATAGTCTCCTTTCTAATCGCCTGCACGATGTGAGTACACACTTGTTTCTGCAAGTGTGTCAGGTTACTTCGGCTGAATAATATTCCGACCATATGCTCTCTCAGGTCATTGCTATCTTCCACGTCCTCATTAACGCCTTCTATCGGCTCCATCTGTTGTTGTTTCTTGCCTTGTATAAGCTTCCCGAATACCTGTGACACGCCATTAATATAGACTATATTCTAACAAAAAGTTACGACGAAGAAAGCGCGACCTCACCTGAGAAGTGATTAAGCGAAACACTTTCAAGGTTTCCGCCTCGCAGTTTCTCTGCTGGATGGTCTGTGCGCTCAGCTGCTTTCCTACTTTCAAGGATTCTCCTTCGATCTCGCCTAATACTCTGATCTGGCGAACTCTTAAGGAATTATCTGGACCCTTTAGTTCCATACCCACTACGTGACGTTGATCTACGCGGAAAAATATATGCATACACAAGTTACAATCCGGAATGGATCATTATTGCATACAGAGTGTTCTAAAAATTTCTGTCTTCTTTCAAAGTTTTTAAAACGCTCTGCCCTTGTAGTAACAAACGTTGTTAATGTTACCAGTGATGGGGCAATTAATCCACCCAGCTGATCTACTTTCGATCTCTACGGATCTCAGTTTGATCATTTCGTCGGAATTAACACCAGACAGGAAAGTTACACTCGATACTTTATGCTAAGAAGATTTTAAATTAGACGAATATCGTTTGATGCATAACTTATTTTTTTTTTTTTTTTTTTGAGAAAAAGAACTTACTGTTAGATCACGACAATTATCGATGTGCACGTATACCATTCTTGGCAAAGAATGCGCACCACAGACGATAGTAATGACTTTGGTCTTGTTACGATCTTCATCTCCAGATTCCCAAAACGTTTCTGTAGAATTGTCCGTGAGGCTGCCGATCATAGCTTGCCTGCTGGACGCTTTAATATCAATGCTGGACGTTAAGTCCTTCAAAGCTTCCACGCAGCCGCTCATTTGCTGCGAAACCGTCGACTGGTGGCTCTCGTGCATACTCATTGTCACGTCTTCTTCTTCCTCGGATCGCGAGAGAATCTTACTAATATTACTAAATACATGACTTCTATGCAGGAACATATGATCTGCTGGCGTAAAGCGAATACCCCAACACCGAATCGCAGCTTGTTGTAACGGAGATCCTGTAAATTATAAGTTATTAACTTTTAAGCATTATTGTATGTGTGTCTCAAAACTAATATTAAATTTATCATTAAGCAGTTGTTACGCCCACGATATTTCAGATTAATCTGCTCAAGTCACTTTCGCATTTTGCTGTTAGTTATTGCTCCAAATATCGACACGAATATCTCGCAAGTTATTTATTAATTCGACAAACTTACCAAGTGGTGGTAATAACATCAGATCCGCAATAGTTTGTAACAAAGTGTGAAACACAGTCGGCAATGGATTGACAGATTCTCCAGCTATTACCAAGTCGCTTAAAGGGTGTTCGCTAACGCCAATCATGTCCTAAATATGCAAATATGCAAAAGATGCAATAATGACAGTTAGATTACACCCATCTAAATCCATCTAAATCCAAATGCAAGCATCTCACTCACATGTTCCTCCTTTTTTTCCGTTCTATTGTCGTCATCGTTTGTATCTGCAGTGTCGGGAGGAGCAACCGGCGTAAGAGACGAGACGAACCACCAAAGTAAGTCGTGCAAGCAAATTGGTTGCGTTACGCTCCTCAAAAGCCAATTTAACGCCTGCATCGCATAAACTCGGCAGGCGGCACGGCGCAACGCTTGCTTCATTGCGAGCTGCAGATGCTGCAAGTTGTGTTGTTGAAGAACGAACAACATCACAGGTCTCATGAGGATCTCTATCCGATCGTTATTCGCTACTTCGGTTTGGCTCGAAGATACAATCGCGGATTGGTCCATCGATGGCACTAATTTCTGGAGTGCGGCAGACGGGTAACACAGAAGTGAAGAACCCGCTTCTAAAAATTGCCGAGATCTTCCCATTACTAACGCGTTTCAGGAAAAAATGTGATAATCATATTTACAGACATTTCAAGTACGATCGTACCGTTATTCATTTCGCTACTGCTGTTATTTCGTTTTCTCATCATGACGATTCGACCGTCATTACTGTTTCTAGCCCAAGGTGCACCGGTTGACATGGACACCGATCTATGAAACATGCTGCGATACTTGCTGCTTTCGATATCGCTATCGCTCATTGGATATTCCGATAACGGCTATAAATAAAACCGCAGTAATTAAAGCAACGTTAAATATTAAAAAGGGAAAGCGAAAAGAGATAGAAGAAAAAAAAAAATTTCAAGACATGTTCTTACTCTGCCGTTTGTGTTGTTGTACATGGCGTTGGCTCCTTCGTAATTACTCTGTTGGCCGTTTTGACGCCTCAGAGCTTCCTCGTAGTATCTTTCGTCGTGACTCTGCGAGTGATGTACACCCAAAGCCTGCAAACACTGGAACGGTCCTGTCGGCGGGAACGGCCCGGCGGCCTCTGGGGGGCTATAATTTTCCGCTACGGATGACAGTGTCTGTGAGGGTCGGCGCTGTTGTTTCGGAATATTGAAGCCGGACGCGCTGGCCAGATCCAACAGAAACATCGCGTTATTCTTCATAATGATATGAGTCTCGTTCCCGCCGGGGCTGTAAATCGGGGACAGAGCTTTGCTACTGCTGCTCTTCCTCTTGGATATGCCGGTCTCCAATTTCTTCGCCAACTTGCTTCTCCTGGCTTTCAAGTACTTATCTCGACAGGTGTCACAGATCAAGTACCACGAACTACCACCAACACCGCCGTCACCGCAGTTACCCGCCCACCCCACGCAGTAGCTGCCACCGCTGTTGTATCCTTTCCCGCCGGCATGCCAGCCGCAGCCTGGGTGCATCATCTTCATGTGATAAGTGACTGGATGCGGGAACATCAGACCGCAGAGCTCGCAGATAGTCTCGCGTTCGATCCCTGTAAAAACCTCAGAAGTGTCCGCTCTTCCTATAGGCCGCCACTCCTTCTTCTTTCTACTACCTTTCTTTTCGCGCTCCTTCACCTTGTCCTCCCGGGGACGTTTCTCCGGCATCGGTCGTTTCGCCAGCTTCATCGTTTGTATGTGCGATATAGGACTGGGTAGGATCGACTGTTGCTCGATGGCTTGCAAGCAATTCGTGCTGAGTTCTTCCCAGAGGAAGACTAGACTCTTGAGAGCGGGCGGTAGCACCGCAACCGTGTGAAATTCGGGCAGAGAAGTGAGCTTACTGCTGTTTGCCTGGATCTCCTCCTTGATCGTATTCTCCTGCTTTTTCCTGTTTCTATTGGCATTAGCGTTCGCGGCTGAACGTGTGAGAGTCTCCAACGTGCTGGGTTGAATGTGCAAATAATTGCCGGCGTTGGTCACCTCGACGGAGTGCCTTTGCCGTGCCTTTTGCTCCTGTTGTTGTTTGTCGCTGGGTTGTAAGACAGTCTGTCTGGTTACAACCAGCGCGCCCTGCTTCGGCAAAGTTGGATGAAACTTGAGAAAACTCGCGCAAGCCATGGCGTCGTGCACGATACCCTCGTGCCATAAAAACGCCGCGAAAACTGCTCTGAGACATTCCGCCACGGAAGGACTGACCGCTTCCTTCACTTTGTCCTTGCTCAAATTCAGAGGGCGATTAGGATTGGGACTTTGCTGCGCGTTCGCTGGCGACATGGCGCGTTTCGCCCTCGTCTTCGCAACTTTCATGTGATCCCTTCTGCTCATCTTCGGCGAATGCCGCTCGTCCTTCACCCCGGACGAACCGATGCTAAAATGGCCCTTCATCGCCGTAGTGGCGCTCTCAGGACTCGTTTGTGTCTGCGCCTGCGACACTTTGCGCGGGCTCTCTTGAGAATCCTTTAAGAAACAATGTATCTTTCACGCTGTTGTTCTTTGCGCGATGTTACAAACGCTACGGTACGTGCAGTGGGAGGAGAACTTTCTCTCTATCTCTCTCTGATACGTGCTTATCAACAAAGCGTAAATCTTCCGTTCTTTAAGCGGATAGAACGATCGGGGAACTCGTTACGTCAAGATTAAGAAGGCTCTCGTGTTATATCACTTACGCAACAACAATCCTTCTTGGGAGTATCGGGCGGGCTCGCTATGCTGCCCTCAGATCTCATGTGTAAAGAACTGCAACTTGGACTCGGTGATAGATCACGCGTATTGGCAGTAGTACTAATGCCACTCGGTGACTGAGATGGATCTCGCGTTAGACTGCTAACCAAGGCACTTGTGTCGCTCTGCGTCGAGCTGCGACGTTGCGACGTGATGCTGTCGACCATCCCTCCCGACACTTGAAGAAGAAAAGGATAATGATGTAACAAACGATCGGGCTAAAGACAAAGACGTATCCGGATACTCAATTCTCACAGCAAGGACGTCGATTCTCTCACCTCAACAGCGATATATTATATGTACACACACACACACACACACACATACATGGATGGAGTGACAGAGAGCGAAACATTCGTCATAACATTCGCTTACACGATTCATTCAGAGAGTTTAAGTCGTGCAGATTACTTCGTGCGACCGTGTTGCAGAAAAATTAAAGAAGTCTCTAAAGAATGATACTTTTCATTCTTGTATGATAGTGTGGGAACACAAAGAGCAAGGAGAGCGGCGTAAGATCTCTTGCGATCGATTGTCCGCGGTAACGGATCTCAATACGACGTTAACTAAGGGACGTATTAGTGTGTATCAGTGATCTTACCTAACGGGGAGAGGCCGACACTTCGGGGGGAGCCGCAGAGTACAGGGCTGCTACTCATACTCTCTCCCCCTCCTATCGCACTTCTCCCACCTAATAATTTTGATTAATTGTAGCGTTTGTATATTGTGTCGAGGGTATGTCTTACAATTAGTACGGAAGCTTTATCTACATTTCTCGATCTCCGGCCTCGCGTAGACCTCGCTCTGTGCGTATAAATGTTGTAATCGATCTCATGCATGTTTCAAGAAACGAAATAATATCGCGTGCCATTCCGGTTTGCAACTACCGCTGTCTCGCATGCATAATACAGTGTTTGTAATATTCACTGATTAATACTGAAGTGGTTTCTAGCGTGCCATCAATCCTATAGAATTCGTAGACGTAAGGTAAACGGTGATGATTAAAACAGATCCTCGACGATACAGACTATCACTCTACGCATTATATATATGTATACGCTATCTTACAACTCGAGTAATTCAGTATAGGATAGGAGCGAGTACCTGGTGCGTTAGCAGCAGGAGGGAAGAGGCAATTGCCAGAAACAGCTGGCTGCCGACTGGACCCAGCTAAGACCACAACATGACTAATTTGTTATAACTAATCCGAACAACGTATTTAAAGTTAGTGGTTAGTGTCTCGTATATAAAATTGTCTACCGTCTCAAAATGTCTCTCTTTCTAGAGTCTATCGTATATTCAAATATGTAATGTCACTGTGTCGGATGTTACTTTTTGTGCTCTAACACGCGATAAAGAGAGGGAACAAAAATACATAATAAAACTGTATAGCCTTACAAGTATCAGCGTCCGTTCTCACAGCTTCTGAAATGATTTCATTTTCAAAGGATTTATAGTGCCAAGTTATATAAGAGTAATACGTATGTATGTATAACGTTAGAAGAAGAATGAATCGCGAAAAACCAGAAAGACCCGGAAGTTCGGTCAGAGAAATGATGTCTATGTACGTTATTGCAAATATACCGAATACGTACCGGGTATCGGGACTGGGCTAGAGGACGGACTGCGAAATCTTGGTGACCCACCTTGGGGATTCTTCGGCGAGGAACTTCTTGACATTCGCCGGGGAGTCTCCGGCGGCGTCGCCCCGTTGCCGTTCGCGCGACTTTCCCCCATCGCTTTTACCAACTCCTTCACAGATACGCCCACGAATTCCGAGAAATCTCTGAAAAGCATCAGTGATACATGCTGATAGACACTCGCATATTAACGTGGAAGCCCCTGACTTTAAATTGCAGCTCCCGAGGAAGTTCTCTTGGCACGGAAACGTGTGAATTGTATCATAAATTTTTCGGGGAGACTTCTGCTCGTGTTCGCGGAAAAATCGATAATCTCGAGAAGTTGGTTGACGTAACTCGGGAGAAATGAAAGAGCATAATTGTATTCTAAATTGACGAAAAACTTGGCCGAAGTATGAAAGATGTATGAGAAGAATATTATGTACGAATGAATATATTTCCATACCTGCCCGGAGAACTTCTTTTCTCTCCGTGACATTTATCATCCCCTCTGAGCCATTTTTGAAGAACGCTAAACTTTCCGCCGCCGCCTTCCCTCTCGCGCTCTTTCGCCACTCTCTCCTTGGAATGGGGCTTCGAGAACTTCGCGGTTCCGTCGGCTTTCTCCGGCGTGAAGCGTTCGCTTCCTGAAGAACGTACTTAGCTTTATAGCCGGGTGCAACAAGTTACCCAAATTTACCTTCGCAGTCGACTATCCTACCTGGCGAGTCATGCTGATTGTATGAACCAAAAACAAATGGATTCGTGTTGCAACCCTCGACCGACTCCGTTGCATCTGGTGTGTAGTTTTGCGTGGTGAAGTTGAAGCCCTCATGGCTCACGGATGGTATTGAAAAGTCGAAGCCTTTGTTACTCGGAGAAACGATCGGGTCCGGGATCATCGGCTTTTTCTCTATCGGATCGTTCTCCAAATCCTGTTCGATCTTCATGTAAATCACGCCGTGTTTGTTAGTCGCGAGCGACCACGCTTCGCCGTCTACACCTCGACCTTTGTCGAAGCAATACTTGGTCACCGAATCGTCATCGATACGTACCCAAGTCCCTTCGTGATTCACGGACTGAAACAGTCGAACCATGAAGTGCTGTCGTGCAGTGAGAACTTTGAGGGAGAAAGAGGACGCATTTGATAGTATCTGAACTTACATATTCCTGAATGGTCACTGTATTCCCAAGCGCCAACATTCCAACTGGCGCGCTCTTCAAGTTCGGCTTACTTCTAATATTGTGTCCGGAAGCTCCGCATTTCACGACTATCATGCTCCTTCCGGCATCGAAAGTTACAGTCTTCCTTTTACTGTTAACAGGAGGAAGACTGGCACGTTAAATTAAGGAACAGTCAAAAGAAGCGTGATAGAGAATGACATTTTTTCACATACTCATCGCTAGTGTCGGGTCGCTTCCGCATGATAGTCTCTTTAATAACTTGGTCCAGAATAGATTTTGGTTCCTCTACCGGGAGCAGCAGACTCTTTCCTAAATGCTGATTGTACTGCAAGCACCAAGCCTCCAAGTGACAACTGTTGCAGTATTCTTTGATTGTCTCTGCATTTAATCGCAGCCATACGCCGTCGTCATTATGAATCTATGATTAATTGGAAGAACAGAATATTATATCTTCACTTAAAGATCCTCAAGGGTTCCTGAAAGGATTTTAAAAGTTCTCTTTACTCCTCTCCGAAGCACGTGAAAATAATTTCGGCAAAGACTGAGTCGAAAAGTTCGATTCGATTTTCTACTTTTTTTACGGCTCATTGTTGACAAAAAATCACAGATAATAACGGTGATACGAGTAAATCATTCGTTTTCATTGAATGCATTAAATGAAACTTGACTGAAAAATCGAATCGAGCTGATCCAATGTAATGAGCAGAAATGTTACTCTTCCACCATCTGAAGATTGAGCGAGAATGTGCGTTTTTATTACGCTCGTCTTGCAGGGTTGCCTCGAGGTGAATTCAATTGAAACGATCAAGCTTCTTCAGACATTACCTCATCGACGAACGCTATAGTGTCATTAACCGAGACGAATCCGATTTGTTCGCTCTGCAATGACGGATGGGCTCGTATTCTCAGACCGGCGCTGTTCTTCGCCACGAATTTCCGGAGTCTGCTCGGCTGCAGCTGCGGCTTTTTCACAATGTTCTGCGTGGGCGGTTGCATGCCCTGCGGAGACTCCTTCACCTCGACTTTGTAATTCTAAACAGCCGAATTTCATGTCAATCTATTTTGAGATCTATTCCAAGTCTATTTGTAAACTGCTCGAGCGTAAATATCTCGAGCAATTTCTACGAGGACAAATATTCTGCTCACATCTTCCATATTGTAACTGTCTACTGTGATCATCAGCGAGTACCAGCCGACCGAGGACGGCGTCCACGTGGCGCTGTAACTGCCGTCGCCGTTAGGTCTAACTAGCATGCTCTCGCTCGACCTCTTCACGGCGGGCGACATCAACCGCAGCTCCTCGAACGAGTAATTCTGATAGGCTTTCATGATGTTGATGGCATAGAAGCACATCTTGTTGTTGATGGTGACCTCGTAGGGAACGTCCAGAGGAGGCTGCGGATGACCGCCAAAAGTCATGGGGTCCGGCTGCGAGACGCGGCGGATCTTTCTGCTCTGGTCAGACTCCGTGATGTCTGTCTTATCGATCGGCACCGCTTTCACTTCGACCTGCAAACGATCTCACGTCGACACGGGCGAACGAGACGGACGCGTGACGTTCTTCTCGTCCCTCGACAGGGAATACCGTACCTTCAATCCAGGAACATGCACGACCTCGCCGTATTGATCCCTCGTGAGGACGGTGACGATGGCCGGCCATCCGCATCTCATATCTTCGCGTGAATAAAGCGCCTCGCATTGAGAGGGATCCACGAAGCTGTCCGGCTGTAGCCATCTCGCGAGTCTGCCGCCGCTGGTGCCGGCCGAGCAGGAGACGAAGTCGCGCAGGAATAGACGCTCGTTCGAGTGAAAACTGAAAATAGCAAAAAGCCGGACGGATTTTATCGCGCGTGCACTCGAAAACCACCGATTTATGCGACTATCTGTTGTCAGCGGAGCAACTCGATCGCACACTCGAATTTATACACAGCGAGGATATTATAATTTTCTTTTCCTTCATATAAATTATTTCCATTTTTACTATACATGTTTCTGTATAGACTAAAAGTCTAAACAGACTTTTTTTAGTGGTAGAATAATATTTTTCTGTGTGCAGAAACGTAGAATATTTTTTATATATATAATATAGCATATTTAAATTCCTAAAACATAAATAGCACACATAAAATGAAAAGATAAAAAATCATCGCAAAGTATCGATGTATCTTTCTCTCAATTATAAAATTCTAGTAATTTTTACTACAAAATTCTCCCCGTGCAGAAAGCAAAGCGAAATCTACATGGAGAAAATATTGTAATAAAGACAACTTTGTAATAAACAAAACTCTTGTAATCTTCGACATTACAAAACTGTGACCGAAATTATTATATATTTGCCTAAAAATGTCATGCATGTTTGACTCTTTGCTACAAAATTATTGTAATTACTTGAATGGTTTATATGCAGTAGCTCGTCAAATTCATTATTTCTATATTAATTTCAGTGTTGTCTTGTATTACAAAAGACATTGTAAGCAGGAGCATAATTTTCACCTAAAATTTTACCGCAATATTTTCCGCGCGTAAAAGTCTTTTATTGTTCATGTAGGAAGACCGCAAGAGTTCTAGACGCGACAAACTACTCGTATATTCCATCTGATATAGCGCGATATAAAACCGCGCGTGCCAGCAGTGAGTGTAAAATGTTGTGCTGAAACTTTTAATCGTTCAGCGGCCACGAGGAGAGCCGGCCATAACGGTCGGCGATATAAGATCGTCGCGCGATGAAATACAGCCGGAATATAGACGTCACGAAAGAGTTCAGCTGGCCGAGGAGTCGCACTGCGGCAGTTACTTGGACGTTTCTTACGTCCCGCTCCGCAATAGACGCAGCAAGCCTTTGGTCTTTTGCTTCAAAACCTCCAATCTCCAAAGAAAGACATTTCTCGCGCTGCCAAAAATAACACGTAAAATTAGGATCTGCGACGTCTGGTTGCGCGGGAAACGCTTGGAATCGCGTAACATTTTGGCTTCGGAGCAAAAGGCTGAAGGGTCAATACACCTATGAACCGGGATTTAATCGTATAGCGTGAAAAGTCGCGAAGTGAGCACCGTTTTGCGAGTACAGGTCGCACGATTCATCAGAACGAGAGTCCGAGAGACGCGATGCCCCTAATTGGTGCCCCTCGTGCTATCGCGGCTCCCGGTGGCTCCGGCTAGATCGCGAATAGAGGACGATGCTCCTCCGTCAGTCAGACAATCGTTGCTTCCCCCGGCTCGTTCGCTCGCCGGACTCATCCCTAATAAGGCGCAATCACATCTCGCAGCTCTGTTCCTCGGGAAGCTCGTCAACGACCTGCGCTTTTACACTACTCACAGCAGCCGACTCCGGCCGTTCTTGCAGTAGAGATAGGAGTGTGGAACCGGTATTCTCTTCGGGCAGGATCATACGCGGGTAGAGGTTGCGGAAGAGTTCGCACGCGCATCGATCATTACGGTATATCCGCGTGGAAAATAAGGGTCTAATTAAAAACCAACGGGCGACGGTGTAAATCACCCGCGAAGACGCCGTCTTCGATAAATCTAAGGAGATAACGAGCGAGAGCTTAATTTAAATTCCAGATAAATGCTTAAAGGGATGCCGGACATGAAAATTTTACCGACATAACATTGACTTCTTTTTGCAAAGTTTACGTCTTGTTGCTTGCACAGACAAACGCTTTTACACAACAAAAGTGCACGCAAAAATATTCCCTCTCGTTATCGTCGATATCGTCGGTATATGATGAGAACATTTTCTACTTTTTGATGATCGTTCTACGTTATCGACGCTTATCAAGTTCGTCACTCGCTCCGGCATTCCTTTTTCTCTCGGACTTATTCCTTTCTTCTTTTTCTTCTGAAGACCGTCAATACTTTTTTTACGAATTGTTGCTCCACAGTCGTAGATAGATCGTAGACAGTTGCAGCAGTGTTTCGGAAGTCGAACTATTGGCATGGACGAGCGGGATAACGGGAAGAAAAGTGGTTTCTTATGCCGTAAATCATGCGACGCTTTTCTCTTCGTTACGATAATTTATGATATCGCTCTCGCGAGACTCACGATCACGATGAAAGTATCCGAAACACATAAAAGATAACAAGTGAAGTAGAGGCGTGTTATCTATGAAGCGCCGTAATTCTTATCCTTCCCTGCGCTTAATGTCTCATTAAAATACCTGAAATAATGGTAAACGGTTGAAGTCGTAGAAATTAAGGAGCGGCTGCGTAAGCCGGTATATGAGATGTACCCGCGGGGATTATACATCGGCGCGTACATCACAAGCAAAAAAAAAAACAGATTACATCGCAGCGATGAGCAGATGTTAAACCTCTTCGGACGATAGCTCTCTCGAGAACGGGATATCTCGGGGCTTTGATCGAGTTCGTATCGCGAGCGCGTATCAAACCATGTAACGAATGTAATTTTCGCGAGTCGGATATAAACGTCGTGAAGTGCGCTCCTCTGAACCATCGATCATAGTCACGACGAAAAAGATGAACGAGCGGCACGCCAAAGATAATAGACGCTCTAGAGCCGCCGCCGGTGATGGTGGTGGTGGTGGTGGTGGTGGTGGTGGTGCATAATACGCGGGGGGAGGTCGCGACCAAGAGAGAGAGAGAGAAAGAGAGAGAACCGTGCGCGCGGCTTTAAAGATCGGTATCCACGTGACGTACAGTCGGTACGTGACCATTTCGGAAATGGGCACTTCGTGGACGACGACGTCGGCCGCTTCCCAGTCTGAGAAACGCGTTATGAATGAACGGACGTTGCCCGCGTGTGTGCCGGCGACGTCCGACCGAGAGAAGAGACGTGGCGCGGGGGTGTGCGGGGTCGTGGATGCGCACAATTTCTCATGGGAAATTAAATGGCCAGGTTTATGTTCATAAAGCGAAGGAGCCACGACGGTACCGCGCTTTAGGGAAACGTCCGCCCGAAAAGCGACATGGCTACGTGAAGCGGCGAGACCGGACTACTGTCTCGTTTTTACGCTACGGTGCGTCCCGCGTTGCGTATCTCCGGCCGCGGAGGCATAATGCGACGGAGACGACGCTTGGACGGTGCTTCGCATTACTCTCGTTCGCGCGTCGCCGCGCCGACTTATTATTGACGGGAACGCGTGATCGCGAGAACTCTCGTCGGCGTACGTGGCACGTGGAAACTCAAAGGGGTCATTGAACCCCGTGCATGGATCGTGCGTTCGTTGATAACACTTCTGATTTGGTTTATGGGACTAATATCGTGGATCGCAGCAGGACAGGAGATTCAAAAGTGGAATGCCGACGGAATTATTCCGTTGCCTTTGGAGCAGGTGTTCTGTACCGATGTTCTGTCATCATAAATATCAGCAATACAAGAATTAAAGAACCACCTGGCTATACGGTAAAAGACATTTTGTGTTACAAATAGAAAATGGTCCTTGTTAATATTTTTCTGTTAAATTTCTCACATACCTGTGTGTATTAATTTAATATATTATTTAATATAATATATGTGTTATTTGAATATTTTGTATTAAGTTGGTAAAATTAAAAAAACATATATAAATATTGAAATTATACATTTTATGCCTAATTATAGCTTAATATAGTTTAACGTATTATATAGACGTTAATTTTATTGAAAAATTAAATTTTTGCCATCCCGTGATATGTATAACACAAAATGCGTCTATAATCAAAAGATAGAAATGATGTAATAGGTAAAGTAACTCAAGACAACAGATACAGAGTTCCCAACTTTGATCTAATTTTAAGCAGCAATATTTTCATTATCGTTTCGAGTGAAAGCACCTCCACTTTTCACTCGTTTTGAGCGAGATTCCAGTCCAAGGAATTTTGACACAATAATATTATACGAACCAAACAACTTGGGATCAATCTGATTAGAAAGATGGTATTAATTCCTGTCGGGTACTGACGATCACCCGAGTAGAAAAATCGCCGGAGAAAGCTGGTCAGAAACTAGTCAGCTTTTGTTGTTTAGGCTTTACTAGTCGACGACACAGTAACGTAGAGATGAAAGAGAAAATATACAGAAAGGGCCAAAAAAATGTATGTATTTTTGACTGCACGCTGCATATGAATGATGCATGTCGAGAAGAATCGCAGCAAGATCCAAAGGATGGCTTCAGAACGCGTTTCGCGTATCCAGGCAGTGTGTGTCGCCTCTTACAAATGAAAAAGCCTCAACTCTCTCCATCAGCTTATCGGCCGATTACTTAAGCCCCGAACACGGTTCGCGCAATTAGCATCACCGTTGGTCATCGGCGTAACCGGGGGCTCTTTGGATCGCAAGTTGGTCAAGGTCGTCCTCGCGAGTGTCAGGTGACGCGCGCTCCCGACGAGACCGTCGAACGTGTTCTCGCGGAAGCCGATGTCGATCCTTTTGGCGCGGCTTGCCGATCGGACCCCGAGAGGGCACCGATGATGCTCGTCCCGTTCCTTTCTCGATGTCGTATCCAACCGACGGTCGGCGTTGATCTTTTCAAAGGCTGAAGAGGGAGTACATAGCAGGAGAGCGAGGGAGATAGAGAGGGAAAGAGAGAAAGAGAATGTAGCAAGGCAAGCCTACATGAATGTTGGTGGGGAGGAGACACCGATCGTGCATGCCACCGACCACAGTTTAAAAGCAACCTCCGTCATGATCGCGTCAGCTGGCTTCTAGTTGCCCCACCATTTCCTCTTGGTCGTCGTGTTCCTCTTCTGCGTCTACCTCTTCTTCTTCTTCTTCTTCTTCTTCTTCTTCTTCTTCTTCTTCTTCGGGAACGACCGCGTATCGAAACTTGCTCCGGGCGGTAGTCGGTCACCAACGCCGTTCACATCGTGCGAAACCGCGCCGACGAGGATGACGATCGTTGCCGAAGATCGATAAAGCCCGCGAGGAGAGGGGGGGAAATGTGCTGCGTTCCTCGCGCGGGGCGTGAAACCGATCGGTGGAAGAAGCTGTTGGACTACCACGAATAAAGAAGAGGAACGAAACCAGTGGATGGTCTCCGGATCGAGAGGAGTTGCTCCCGATCGATCCGCACGGTCGATTGGGCCGGTAATGGGCCCGGGGGGCCTCGAGTGCATCTCGTCGAGTGCGACGCGGGTGGTGATCGATCAGTTATGAGGGGGAGGCGATCGCGGAGGGAATAATCGGCGGTGGCCGCTGGTGATGATCTGACGGTCGCTTTGTACGCGCACGACCGACGACCGGCCTCTCGATCGTTCTCTCGCGCGGAGATCGTTACGATGAGCGCCAGGCGAAGAGTGTACGACGCCCTTGACGGGCTCATTAAGTGTGATCGTGCGATCGTATGCTCGGTGTTCTTGTGGTATCTCGCGCTCCTGCCGTGCATCGTCGAGGCCGTCCAGCCGGGGATATGCGCCATGGACGGTTGCAACTGCACCGTCCAGGCGCACCGTTGGATTACCGTCAAGTGCGTCTTCTCCAAAGAGCAGGTGAATGCATATCAACAACATCTCGGCCGGCCGGTAGATACGCGGGAGATACGTAATATCGCCCTACTAAAAATAGTCGAAGCGACGATGGGAATGCATATAAATCGAACTAGATCACACATATACATGCCACAACATACTCTTCCTCTTTTTCTCTCTCTCTCTCTCTCTCTCTCTCTCTCTCTCTCTCTCTCTCTCTCTCTCTCTCTGCCTTCCCACGCCTTCGCTCCCGGAGACTTCAACGAGCCCATACGAGCTGAACGGTAGAGAAGAATGAAACACTGAGGAAGAATTGAAACTTGAACATTTATCTTTTGAAGTTTTTGAGAATATTTATCTTTTATTATCTGTGGGGTAGGAGAGTTTTTTTCGTAGAAGCTGACTTTGTGTCACGCAAACAAATGTTTAAGTATATATTTTTTTTGCTTAGCGCGTGACTTTTACGAAGAATCCCTTGTGCACTATCTGATGATCGTGATGTTGAACGTGACGAAAATCCTAATTTCTTTCCTGTCGTCGGGAAGTAGCGCTCGCGAGGGATCGACCATCGGGCGGCAACGGGCTTCGAAGTTGCCGCGTTTGTTGAAGGCGCAGGTCGCGCTGTTACACCGCGTTGATGACACGCGGCTTTTCGCGCGACGCTTACGGATTACGCGAAATCGTTTATCTCGGTACGCTGCATCCGTTGCACCGAAAGAGAAGTCGTTAATGCGCGACGGTGAAAGTTTGCAGAGTCGCAGGGGTCTGGGATCGCCTTTCACGCGGGATTAGCATATAAATCATTGGCCCGTGAATACGGTGGGAATACCGTGTGCACTTGCGTGCACTTGCGTGCAGGCGCGCTCATGTGAGCGCAGGAATCAAGCACACAGAATCGTGAGGCTCAACTTCTCGAGCAAAATCGCGAGTCGAAATTCGGTTTAGTTTTTACCAATGCGCGAATTCACGAATCCGTAATCGCAAAATAATATTTGACCTGCGATAATTGTGACGTTATCCAAACGCGCGAAGGGACATCGTGTTCACAATAATTACGATGATGAATCTTTTCTTCTTTTATGGCAGTATCAATTCTTTCGTAGATTTTTGCGCGACGTTGACAGTTTACTCGTGAATATCGTCAAACCAAGTGAAAAGAATTGATTTATCAAGAACTCTGCTTGTAGTCTGTAATTTTATTGAAATACAGTTTTATCGTTATTGCTCACTGAATTGGTATGCTTGGAGTAGGATGCCAAAACTCTCAAAGCCAGCCAGGTTGGTATTCAGGACACAAACGTTTAATAATGAGAGAGAGAGAGAGAGAGAGAGAGAGAGAGAGAGAGAGAGAGAGAGAGAGAGAGAGAG